GCTCACAAGACAAATGCAAACCATTGACCAAGAAAGCAGGTGCAGCACTGTGCTCAAGTGGAAGTGAAGGTCAAAGGGGGTGGGCAGAGGTGGCTGGGAGAAGAGGAGTGGAAGCCATCCCTCTTGGAGCCACGGCCAGTATGTTTATGATCATTTCAGAACACAGAAAATGTGTACAGTGGTACCTCGGGTTAAGTACTTAATTCGTTCCGGAGGTCCGTTCTTAACCTGAAACTGTTCTTAACCTGAAGCACCACTTTAGCAAATGAGGCCTCCTGCTGCTGCGCCGCTGCTGGAGCATAATTTCTGTTCTCATCCTGAAGCAAAATTCTTAACCTGAAGCACTATTTCTGGGTTAGCGGAGTCTGTAACCTGAAGCGTATGTAACCTGAAGCATATGTAACCCAAGGTACCACTGTATTAACAATGAACTAGAGCAGTGGTTCCCAATCAGCTAAGTACTGAGGACCCCCTGTTTTTCAAAAGCGAAGTCATGCACTCCTTACTTTTGAAACTTTTGATATCTCTACAGTAGTTTTTGTTATGTGAATGGAGCTTATAGTTAATGGCGAATGCCTGGTATGTTCCTCCTAGTGGTGCAGTAATAAAACTGCTGGCACATTTGCAAAGCTAATCGGGGTCCAGTATGGTTTCTAATTGGATGGGGGACCAAGTGCTGAGATTCCTGCATTGCAGGGTGTTGGACCAGATGACCCGCAGGGTCCCTTCCAACTCTACAATTCAATAATTCTATTATCCTGGCTCAAATATATGTTGGGAATGCAAGGAAAAAGAAGGGACTTTTTATCATATGTGGTGGGAATGTAGAGTAATTTAAAAATATTGGGAAGTGATATATAATGAGTTGAAGAAAATGTTTAGACTAACATTTGTAAAAAAGCCTTAAGCATTTTTGTTAGGGATTGTAGGGAAAGACCTGCCAAGGAAAATGAAGAATATATTTATGTATGCGACAACGGCGGCAAGAGTATTAATAGCACAAGGATGGAAGAATGAAGAAATCCCAACAAAAGAATAGTGGCACGAGAAATTAATGGACTATGCGAAACTGGAAAAACTGACGCACAAACTATGTGACAAGGATAACTGTGACTTTAAAGAAGAATGGGAACCTTTTACAAAGTATCTAAAGAATCAACAAAATGAGGTGGACTCCTTGGCAGGTTTTGAATAAACATACACAAATTTATTTGTTAACATAATAGATGGATAGCTTAGAGATTTTTACATGTTTACAATATGCAGAGAACAATATGTGTTAATAAACCAGAAAGAGGAACTGAGGGAAGTTGTAGGGGGGGGGAGGGAGGGAAAAATGGGGGGAAATACAGTTGTTAAAATAATTTGTTATGTGAAAACTGACAGTAATTTTTTAATAATAGTATTAATATTAATAATAAATAAAATCAGAGATTTGCCACACCAAAAAAGAAAAGAAAAAAAAAGGTAAAAGGTAAAAGAGCAGGTAAGGCTCCAGAATAAGCATTACAGGTAATGGATTTTCAAAAAAAAAGGAAGAAAATGGTAGAAAGACAATAAGGACTCTGCAGACAAGACTGGGTGTGTTTTGGCCTGATCTCTGCATTTGCAAGACATGAACGAGATTAAATACAAAATACACATAATTCAGCAAAGATGAGTATGGACCTGTGCTTGTGTGGGTGTGCAAGGTGGGAACTGCAGTCGACAATGGAACAATAGAACTCAAGAGGTGGTGGGCTCTCCCTCACCAGAGGATGCTCTGGGTCAAGGTTTCCAGCAGGAGGTTGGGACCAGGTTGGTGGCATGCTGTGAATCCCTAAAAGCTCAGTCACTTCTACTGAAACCCAAAGGGCACAGGCACATCCATGTGTGGATGTGAGCCTGGTCTTTGTGTGGCAGTGACTAGAGCATCGTTGGCAACAAACATGCAATGGGGTCAGATTCCTCCATGTCTCTGGTTCAATCTTTTGAGTTATGGGATCAGAACAAAAGCAACTGTTTTTCTGGCTTGTAAATTTGTGACAAATGGCAGCATAGGAGCTCTTGATTCCCATTACAGTGATGAGGAAACAGCTTCATAGTCAAGACTAACTTTGCTCTAAAAAGGTAAGGGTCAAGGACCCCTGACAGTTAAGTCCAGTCGTGAACGACTCTGGGGTTGCGGCGCTCATCTCGCTTTACAGGCCGAGGGAGGCGGCATTTGTCTGCTCCCCAGACAGTTTTTTCAGGTCATGTGGCCAGCATGACTAAGCCACTTCTGGTGAAACCAGAGCAGCACATGGAAACGCCATTTACCTTCCCGCTGGAGCAGTACCTATTTATCTACTTGCACTTTTGGGGGTGCTTTCGAACTGCTAGATTGACAGGAGCTGGGACCAAGCAACGGGAGCTCACCCCGTCGTGGGGATTCGAACCGCCGACCTTCTGATCAGCAAGCCCAAGAGGCTCAGTTCAAACACCTTAAAATTCAGCAGCAAAGTCCACTCTGAGAGGTGTGCTTTGAACTGCCTTGTCAGCTTGCCAAGGCGCTTATCCTGGCACTGCCCTTTGGATTTGAACACAGAGCTCAAAATAGGAGCCAAACAACATTTAGTCGATGAGCGAGCTTCAGCACCACGGACTAGAAGCAAGCACTAGCTGGGCTTCTGTGTCTCATTCTGTCCCCCACCCCACCACAAAAAACCTACTAATGTGGGGTGGGGGACAGGAGTTCAATCTATGTCCCCCAAGCCTACTCTACTGCAATGGATTTCTAAGGAATTCATTAAGCGGAACTTGCTTTTAAGGAAATGTACGTTGAGGTCTAAAACATCTTAAAGCAGGGGAAAGTGCTCAATATAATTTTCAGGTAGGTCTGTCGTGTTTTAAATTTTAAATTTTAAATTTTAAATACTTTATTGTCACTTGTACAACTTGTATACAGTGAGATTACACGAGCACCCCCCACTCAGCTCTCTTAGTCTTAATTCCCCTTGTTTACTGACGCACACCCACCAAACCTGAAAGTCAGTTGCCCTGTTGTTATCTTTTCATTCAGCACCCTAACAACCCACGGATAGAAGCTGTTCTTTACCCTGTTGGTGCGACTAATCATGTTTCTATATCTTCTGCCCGAGGGCAGGAGGTCAAGAAAGTGCCGGCCAGGGTGTGAATCATCCCTGAGAATTTTCCTCACTCTCCTGAGGCAACGTTCTTCTGCGATGTCATCCAGTGGATTCACGGGACAGCACATAATATCCTGTGCTATATTCACTACCCTCTGTAGGCACGTCCTATCAGTTGATTCGGAGGAAGGTGACAGAAAACAGAGTGCTTCCCCTTCCATGAAGCAGAGTGATGTGGGCACTTGAAAGGGAAGCAAGATGATGCCCATTTAATTTATTATTCCTGTATTTTTGCTTTCAGGCATGGTGGGGAGAAGCCCTCGGGGGAAATTCTGCCTCCAGTGCAAAAATACCTTGGCCAGCCCTGAGTACGATGAAGCAAACCTTGACTTGGAATTGAGGGGGGCACTTTCTGCTCAGCCTCTCATGCCTTGCAACGTCTTTCTCCTCCAGCCCTGAGACCACATCCCTTTTGGTCAGCAGGAAATCAAAGAGGACTGCTGAGAGTCCATCCAGTGGGAAGTTAATAGCCGGTTTAACCTTCATTTGGCTGCGGGGGATTAGCTAGCAGCATGGATAAATAGCAGGGACAGGTTTCTTCCCGTTGGCCAGTGTTGTCCCCTGCTCAGGGCAAAGAGGGAGTTACGGCTTCCCTTCAGGTTTAAGCATTTTTGCCTCTCTTTACCTGCTCCACAGTTACCTCACCACCCTATGGAACATTGTGGAGCAGGCCCCATTCACAGGGCAAGGGATTCCTCCCAGCTCAGCCCCATCTGCAGCTTCCCCAGTGATGGTTTTTCCTCAGGCTCAAATCCATTTCTTGCTGCTTCACTTGGCTGATCAATGGGCGCCGTTCAGTGGTAATATTGACTTAGAAAACTAGCTTGGAATGTCAGATGAAGTTCAAACTGCTCCAGTCAACAGGAGGGCAGCAATCATCAGGGCCACTTTAGAGCATCACAAAATTGCTAGGGTGTTGTTTTTTTTAATAGAGGCCTCTTGGAGCTGTATGTGAAGCGACTTCACCTCTTTTCTTGTGTACCAAATAACATTCTGTTTGTCTCATTTAAGGCAGTACAACCTCATGCAAGCACGTATTTCTGTAAAAAATACTCAGATTTCCACACGTTGAAGTGCTGCTGAGCCAGAAGCACAGAGGGGGGTTCAGCCATTGATTAGTCTGCCCATTTCTTGAGACCGGAAGTAGTCTTGAGTTCTGCATCAATCTGTTTTTTAAAAGGTCTCATGAAAATTCATGTGTGTGCATTCCTTTTAATACATGTGATTTTGTATGCAATTTCCCTTAATGTGAAGAATTTATGTAGTCAGCACCACTTTTGCACACAGTTTCCACTAATATATGTCCTTTTGCACACAGCCTTTGGTTGGAGAACTGTATCACAAAGTTTGGAGGAGTTTGCATTTCAAAGGATCGCTCCCCATTGTTTGTGTCTGCAAATCAGTCAGGGCTTCCCACTCCCAGACTCATCTGTGTGTTTTTTCTAGACCACCATATTGCAGAATGTAAACCAGTGTTTCTCAAACTTGGGTCTCTGGCTGTTGTTGGAATGAACTCCCATTATCCTAGCTAGCAGGACCAGACCAGTGAACAGATCCCAGGTGCACCAACTCTAGGGGGCAAAGGTGTCTTCTGCCCTCTCAAGATTTGTTTGAAGGAGGCCTAGGGCCACCCCCCATATTGAGGGGGCCCGGCATAACATCGTGGAAGGCTGCACCTGCCTGCATGGTGTCAGGAGATGCCGCAGGAACTGGAATGCATGGTGTGAGGTCACACCAGCCTTGAGAGATGCTGTGGGGACCGACACAGCCAAGCGGAATGCTTCACTAGCCTATGTGGCATTGGGAAACATGTGTGACATCACACAATGCACACATGACATCACACACACACACACGTGATGTGGGCGGGCCAGCCCCCCCAAATATTGGGGGGCAACCCGGTGTCACTGGCACATCTTGAAAGGGACTCAATATCTCCTTTCCCAAATAAGGGAATGCTTTAAAAGGTAATGTGAACTTGTAACATAGACTCTGTGGATGGGGTTGAGAGGGCAGGATGTGGAAGGTCTCTGTGCACCAAAGGGATCCCCAACCTCTGCATAACTGCTGGCACTCTCTTTCTGCCACCAGATGTTTGCCTCTTTCACCTGCTGTAGTCAGGATATAGGGTTCAGCAGTGGGTTGTCCACTGTCCTCTGCAAAGGTTGCAGACAGTGGGCAGATGGCTGTGTGGCTGCTGAATGGACTGTGAGCTGAGGGGGAATAGGGGGGTTTCAATTGCAGAAGTACAGTGCTGGTAACTGGATATGTGAATCTGCCTACAGTCAGCCAACTCTTGCAGAGGGGTTGGCTGATGGTCCCTGTTAAAGGTAAAGGTAAAGGACCCCTGACAGTTAAGTCCAGTCGCGAATGACTCTGGGGTTGCGGCGCTCATCTCGCTTTACAGGCTGAGGGAGCCGACGTTTGTCCACAGACAGTTTTTCCGGGTCATATGGCCAGCATGACTAAGCCACTTCTGGAGAAAGCAGAGCAGTGCACGGAAACGCCGTTTACCTTCCCGCCACAGCAGTACCTATTTATCTACTTGCACTTGACATGCTTTCAAACTGCTAGGTTGGCAGGAGCTGGGACAGAGCAATGGGAGCTCACCCCATCGCGGGGATTCGAACCGCCGACCTTCCAATCGGCAAGCCCAAGGCTCAGTGGTTCACACCACAGCACCACCCGCGTCCCCATGGTCTCTGTTACTGGACTCCAAACAGTGGAAGTGAATCCTATGCCATCCACAGTTTCAGAAAGTTCTGCTTGCAGTTTGTGTCCAGGTCTCTACATGATTGTAGTTAACTCACTTCCATGAGCAGAGAATGTGGTCGTTGGGCTCTTTCTATCATCACAAATTGCAGGAGCCAGGATGCAGAAAACAGACAAAATTCTTAAAACACATCACACATCTGTCAGTGGTAAAATGTGAGAGAATTGTCATTGTCTGCAAACTTTCAGAGAAAGGACCAGTAAATGAAAGTGTCCTCATGACAGAAGCTGTTTCTGAGATCCAGAGTGGAATTAGCAGCTCTAAGGAGTAAACAAACGCACTCATATCGTTGTCAAGAGGCAGCTCTCCTCTCTCTTTGCTTCCAGGTCTAAAGTTTTGGATGCACATTGTGCTCTCATGTGGAAACCTGGAATGTGACATTGTGTGGCAGGCCAAGCGAAGGAAGGTGAACACACAGGCGGAGGGCACCACTCAGGCACTCTGCAGGGTCGGCTGGAGTGGAGGAGGAGACTGCCGCAGGGCAGGTGGCAGCCAGCCAGCCTTCTGGAGCCAGGCCAAGCAAGCTGGAGGGGAAGTCTGCCATGGGAGGACCTTCCCTTCAAAGCACAGGGGGCTCCGGGGGAGAGAGGAGGGGAAGGAAGGAAGGAGGGGTACTGCTAAGACTGTAGCCCAGAAAGCCAGGTCTGTGAAAGTCAGTAAGGGGTGTGGACCAGGGCTTGCCAGGGAAATGGGATGCACAGGCTCAGACTTGACTCTAAACTAAAGGTAAAGGTACCTCTGACCGTTAGGTCCAGTTGCGGATGACTCTGGGGTTGCAGTGCTCATCTCGCTCTATAGGCTGAGGAGCCAGCGTTTGTCTGCAGACAGTTTCTGGGTCATGTGGCCAGCATGACTAAGCCGCTTCTGGTGAACCAGAGCAGTGCACAGAAACGCCATTTACCTTCCCACCAGAGTGGTACCTATTTATCTACTTGCACTTGATGTGCTTTTGAACTGCTAGGTCATGGGTAGGCAAACTAAAGCCGGGGGCCGGATCCGGCCCAATCGCCTTCTAAATCCAGCCCACGGATGGTCCAGGAATCAGCATGTTTTTACATGAGTAGAATGTGTCCTTTTATTTAAAATGCATCTCTGGGTTATTTGTGGGGCCTGCCTGGTGTTTTTACATGAGTAGAATGTGTGCTTTTATTTAAAATGCATTTCTGGGTTATTTGTGGAGCATAGGAATTCATTCATTATTATTTTTTCAACATATAGTCCTGCCCCCCACAAGGTCTGAGGGACAGTGGACCAGCCCCCTGCTGAAAAAATTTGTTGACCCCTGTGCTAGGTGGGCAGGAGCTGGGACCGAACAATGGGAACTCACCCTGTCACGGGGATTCGAATTGCCAACCTTCCAATCGGCAAGCCCTAGGCTCAGTGGTTTAGACCACAGAGCCACCCGCATCCCAACTCTAAACTAGGCGAGAGTAAAACAAAGGACATGAACAAATGCCTTTGCACTTCTTGGGTTCAAGCACCACGGTGGTGCTTGCTCTCAGGTAAATGCACTCTGACTGGCTTGTAGCAACTTTACAACCTGATGCTTCCTAATGTTTTCTGGGATTAAGTCTTCCTGGTGAGTGTAGGTAAACGTGCATGCAGGATCATGTGGGTTTAACCATTGAAGTACCCCACCCAAACAGAGGAGACATATATGCATATAATTCCTTCAGGTAACACCAAGCAGATGTTATGGATTTCATTCAGTGTTGCTGCAAATGCATCTGAGGAGACCCTTACAAAGCTCATTGCAAAAGATGCAACCCAGCACAGACACAAACTTCTTGTTTCTCTTCTAAGCAGGACTCCTCCAGAATGCATGGCAATCTCCATGGTTCCTCTCTTCATAACTGTTACACCCAATCCTGGCCATAAATGCATCACAATGCCCTTGTGGCCTCAGTCCATCCCCTTCTGCTTGCTCCTGCTCCAAGAACAGTGATGAAGAGGTACCAGCACACTGGCAACCTCTCCCTTGGACCTCATCTTGCCCACCCCACCAATGTGGTTGCAACGGCTCTTGTGTTGGACCACAGAAGAAGATGTTCTGGGAGATGGGCTGGAAGTGGATGGGTGGGAGGTGAAGGTACCTGTGATCAAGCAGTTAATTTGTTTCCCGGTTTTATCTGCTCATGACGAGGCATTAAGGAAGGTTTCCTTAATATATCTTAACTCCATTGTTGGCAAGTTAAGCTCAAGAGGCTGTGTGTGAGAGCTGGGAATTCCACTGATGTAGTCAGGATGTAATGTGCCCTGTACTCCCATCTTCTGCTCTATCTTTACAGCAGATATTTAAGCCTAAAAAGGCTGACACATTTCTAAATAATCCCCCAGGAAACAGTTTAGTGTGGGGCCATTATCTTGATAGTTCATAATTAGGTTCAATAAGAAAGCTTGTTTTGCCAACCCAGGTCAGATCCCTGCTGTGTCCGCCTGTGCCTGTGCTCAGTGACCTTGTTCCAAGAGTGTATTGTTAGAAAATCCATTATTATCATCACACACACTTTGGAGAAGTGGCTGTTTTGCGAATTGATGGTGTGATGTTGCCACTTTAGATAAAAGAATCCATGAATTATTGACTTAATGAGTTAATGTTGCTTCAGTCTCCAATGAGACCTTTATAGGCTGGGTGCTATTTAACGGGAGACATCTGAGGCAAATACAGAGAGAGAGGGAGAGAGAAAGAGTCCTCTGCAGGGCATGGAGGACTTCCTTAGAGCAGGCTTCTATCTTCTTGGACAATTCTGGGATTAAAATGCTTGCAAGGCAACCAGATGCCCAACTACATTCATTTTGTTTAATGCACAATCACAGCTTGCGTCTTACTCATTTATCATGGAATGCTGGGGCAGGAGGGTTTCTGCCCCGTAGGAATGTCACTGATAACAGATATAATATGAAAATCATTGAGACAATGTAGGGCTATCAACTCCTATGGTTTGCTTGGTGAAAAACTGAGCACGTAAAATACAATTTGGGTGAACTACAAACTCCCATCCATCTAGACCAATCTACCAAACATAAAGCTCCCACGTAGAGATCCTCTTGCAAAGGAGCAAAATGAAGGTTCCAGCCAGCAGAGGTTCCTCACAGCAATTCCATAGTTCCAGAAAAATGTGAAATTCTGGCTCCGAATAGGCCATCACACAGAAGGCTCACAAGCCTTCCATGTAAGAACAACTTGCCAGCTGAAGTCTGTCTTATCCAGCATCATATTCTCAAAGCCTCTGAGAAGACCACAAGCATCTTCTCCAAATGTGCCTCTGAGCACCTGTATGCCCTTTAGCAAACCTTTGCCTCCCCTGTCATCTAAAAGTCCAATCACCTCCCTAGCCAGTCTCTTGTTACTAAGGCCTCTGAAGAGCTTCTTGTTGTTGGTCTTCATGTTTCTAGCAAGGTGCTTTTCCAGTTACCTATTTGCCAAAGTTTGTTTTCCTTTTTGTTTTCTTCATCCACACATTGTTTTAAAGGAAGGCATCCTCTTGGCCCTGGTGGTACTTTTCTTGATCTGTGGCAAACATTTCAGCGGAGCTTCTAATCATGTGGTTTTGAACAGCTCACAAGCAGTATGGAGTACTTTGACTCTCTTGACTTTTCCTTTCACTTTTATTTTCTCTCCCCCCCCCCCAACCTTCCTTTCAACTTTCTGGTGCAGTCCATGATGTTCCCAGTGAGAACAAGGAAGGAGCAGCTTCAACAACTTCAGTTCCTGTGGGGCTCTTCTTGTTGCATTTGCTTCAGTGACTGAGCTGAGCTCTCCTTAGGAAAACTGTACTGGAAGTGTGACAAATGAAAGGAACCCTTTCTTGCATCTTTGCTTCATTCTTCTCTCTTTTTCCTTCCTAGAAAAACATGAATACTGCTGTTGATACACTCTCTGTTGAGGCATCCAGTGCCCTGTTCTCTGCAATCAGTTGCAGTTAATGATGCCTGAGAACACGAACAAGACGCCCCTGTTTTTATTAAGCTTTTAATAGGTTTTATTTGATTGTTGTATTTTTATATGACTGTGTATTGATGGTGAGGATTTTATGTCAACCGCTTAGATATTTCTTTTCATATTAAGCCATTTATAATTTTTATACATCAGTAATAAAGCCCATCTTTGAGTCTACTCCTGCCGGTCCCACAATCTTTCACTGTCTTCAGAATTCCTTTAGACACACATTTTAGCGTCCTGCTAATGTCACATTAGCAGATTGCAATCACAGTTGTTAAAATGAATACAAATGAATTAATAATGATTATCTAATTATTTGAAAGTGTCATCCTACTTTAGGAGCCATTTCACAATGTTCCCAGGGGTTAATGACGCCACTCACTTCCTGTTGTAAATCATGCAGCAAAAGTGAGGGGGATGAAGAGGTGTGAGAAAGGAAGGCACTAATCTTACGGGCTTCACACCCCCATTGGAAACCATGCCAGAGTGATGGGCCCTCTGCTCTGTGCTTGCCGAAAGTCCTCACCACAAGGTCCCTTTGACCTCCCCCCCCCCTCAGTTTATTGTTTTTACCTTGGCATTTTATTAGAGCAATTTTAAAGTTCAAAGAAAAAAATAAAATGTCAATCAAAACTATAAAAAACAGCTCTTTTCGTTTGTTGCCATTGTGGTGAGCGGTTGGTGGAGCTCGAGTATGTCTTCCCACAAGACGTTCAAGATCAAGCGGTTTCTCACTAAGAAGCAGAAGCAGAACAGGCTCATCCTGCAATGGATCCGCATGAAAACTGGCAATAAAATCAGCTACAACTCCAAAAGGAGACACTGGAGGAGGACCAAGCTCAGCCTGTAAAGAGAAGCAGCTCCAATCTTACTGGCACAACCCTGTATCTTGCATCAAACTCTCGAGCATCAGAATGGTCTCTTCCTACCAGTCTCCCAGATTATCAGGGCTGGAATTCTGTCTTGTGCTGTGCAATCTCTCCCCTTTGTAGAATGTAATGAATAAAAAACTGTAATGAATAAAAAACTGAATGGAGGGGGCTATAAAAAACAGCAAAAGGCAGCCAGTCTTCGGGGGGGAGGTAAAAAAACCAGCTAATTAATTAGCTAATTAACTATTAGCTTGGCTAAAACGTCTTTTGCCACCTGTTGAAAAGGGTAGCCTGGCAAGTTGTCACTGCCAGGGGGTCATTGTATCCTTTCACTGCCTCCCAAACAGTGGGGTCTGACCAAGGCAGAATACAGCAGGACTATTACTTCTATCCTTCTGTTGATGCAGCATAACTCAAGAGATTGTGTCCATCCTTAGAAATAGCTAACTGATTGATTAATTGCTGTTTTCAGCCCTTTCTACCTGGTAGGGCTGAAGTAGGAAACCAAAACACAAGCAGCATGGGAGAGGTTATGGAACTGGGATTTAAAGTTTACAGCATGCTGTACTTTGAAAGAAAATTATATGAAAATGATGTATCGCTGGTAATTAACCCCTAGTAAATTAGCTAAAATGTACAAAGCAAGGTCAAATACTTGCTGTAAATGTAAGGAAAAGGAGGGCACCTTCTACCACATGTGGTGGAGCTGTAAAATAGTAAAAGAATTTTGGAGGGTGATATATAATGAACTGAAAAAAATGTTTAAAATAACCTTTTCTAAAAACAAACAAGCCAGAAGCTTTTCTTCTAGGATACTGGTGGATACTGGCATGGTGGTGGAGCCCCTCCCACACATCCCCAGCAGGTGGACCTGCCACATTCTGCACCCAACTCAGTCCAAGGGCACCTGTCACCAAAAACCATAGGGACATTTAAGGAGATCAGCAGGGATTCATAGAAATAGAATATCCATATAGTTTGAATTTAAAATGGCTGTTTCCTGTGCCCCATTAAACTATGAACTGCATTCAACTGAAAGACACAGGATAAATGAGATGCAAAATGGCCTTCTCAGCACCACTTGAAAAAGCATCCTGGGTCTCTTACTGCTGCAGGCAAGACCACCTATGGGAGGATGGAGCTGTCCATGGAAGCAGCTCGGTTTGCTGATGGAGATGATGGAGATGTCAAAAGGCAACCTGCAGCCAGAATGACAGTGTGATTAACTGAAATGAGGCTGAAGTCACAAGCAGCTCAGGCCACTGGGAAATTAAGGCACCAATTCGAACCATCAAGATCAGCAATGATATTGTGGCATATCCTAGCAACAGCAGCAACATTAACCTTGCCATCCTAGACAGCGAACTAATTTCACAGCAGCAGCAGCAGCATTTCAGCATCTTTTAATCTCAGAACTTTTTGAATGAATGCTGATATTCTCCAAATGGACCAGCTTCTGTTCTTTTCTTTAGGAGCAAATGGAGTGAATAATAGTGGTTTCCCCACAAACTGTTCCTGCAGGAAAAGAGCGGTTGTACTGGTCAAGGAATCCACATTCAGGAGAGAAGGTTCATGGTGCAGGAGCCACACAATTGCAGGGGTGAGACTTTGGGCATCCTTCCCTCCCTGAATGAGGTATTAATAAATGACAGGAAGCAACTATGTGGATGGTCATAGTTTGCATCCCAGATAATCCATCAGTGCTAATGAGGTGTATCCCCCAGCAAGGGGGTTGCTTCCTGTTGTGCAGCTGGAAGTATTTCTGTGCTCTCCAGTAAGTGATCTGAGGATTTCTCCCTTTTCCAGTGTGATCCAACCACCACACAAAACAATGCAGCTCCATTAAAGCAAAATCAGCTTGGTGGAGAGGAATGGCTACTTGGGGGCAAGGGTGAGAGGTACTATGCCTCTACTCCAGTGGGTCATTAAGATGAAGCCCCCACCCCCATGTCAACCTACTCATTCACAATTAAGTTTGTACCCTACACTGAACACACCAAATCCTGGAGAAACAGTGTTGCAGCTGAACTATTAAAGGCTGTGATCAGCGTGTTGTGGGGGGCGGAGTGGCTGCATCTGATGCTGAACTATATTGCTGCTACAAATTTCTGCTGCCGCCGGCCTGGTTCTGCCTGAAAGGCTCTTCCCAGTCCTGTGGGCATTAGATGGGCACCTGGTTGTCCCCAGAGACTTGGAGGTCTTGTTCTGACCCATCGCAGCCCATGAGGCAAGGTGGGCATTGCAGTTGCAGGACCACGGACAGCTCCATGAAACAAGGTGGGCATTGCAGTTGCAGCACCACGGACAGCTCCAGGTGAGCCACAAAGGAGCTTGTCTAGGGGTGGGGTCTTTGTGTTGTTTTGTTTCATAAATCAGAATCATAGAATTGTCGAGTTGGAAGGGACCACGAGAAGCATATAGTCCAACCCCCTGCAGTGCAGGAATCTTTTGCCCAACATGGGGCTTGAACCCATGATCCTGAGATTAAGAGTCTCATGCTCCACCAACTGAGTTTGAAGCTGAATCACTAGAAGTTAGGATTATGCACATAGCTGTCAACTTTCAGATTTGAAAATAAGGGATCAGCAGCCTTGAAAATAAGGGATCAGCAGCCTCACCTGTCCCGGGGACAGTCTGCAGGATATCTAACAATCCCGGATAGCAGCGGGAAGCAGCAGGAAACGGCGCTGGAATAAGGGAATTTCCCACCAAAAAAGGGAAGGTTGACAGCTATGATTATGCATCCTGATCCCTGTTTTGACCTGAGAAGCTTCATGGTGCCTTGCTCTGATTTTGGTCAAATCTCTCCTCTCCCCTTAGACTAGTGGAGCTTTTGAAAAGAAGAAGTTGTGAAATTAGTGTCAGCTTTTAACAGCAGAATGTGTGTTCATGAAATTATTTATAAACCATATTTTGGGACATAGCCCACTCAGCTGTTGTCCAAGTGATGCAATCGGACGAGGTTTATTAATACCAGAACACAAGAAATGTTTCCAAGTACTTTGGTAATAATGGGGTTGGGGGGGGGGGGAGGCTTGAATGTGCCTGCTGTGCAGAAGAGCAAAAGCTGTGATTGATCTCAATGTAAACAGGGTGATTTTTCTTTCTCCAACATGACATGGAGCCCAACCGTGTGTGATGGATTCTGTCGCTGCCCCTTCCCAACCATCATTCTCGCTTTTAATCCACTCAGTGCTCTTGTTGGGCTTTTGCCTGCTCCCATTTCATTTCACCCCCTCTCCAAACAGGATGCAGTAGTTGGTTTATACATGTTCAACAGCAGTAGATAGTTTCCTTTAAGAATTCAGGAAAATATGTGGTGCTCCAGGGGGCAGGAGGGGGCAGGGGAATAAAAGCTACCTGCAAGAAAGTTTGATTTGCCTTCAAATGAAAGTGATGATCTGTTGTAAGCGCTTTCAATCCCTAGAATCTCATATGGTTTCACTCCTCCTCCTAATATGGCAGTCCTTTTTGCAGGAAGCAATCCAGATTTCCTGAACCTTGTCAGAGTAGAGTAGAAAGTGGCCTTTACTGGTCATCTCTTGCACGGGGTTTCCTGAGCACCTCTCCTTGGGAAATGCGTGCCCAAAGCTTTCTTAGATAGAGTACTGTGAAGGTTAATATCTGATAGATTCCTGACTGCTCTGGGGGAGTTTTCAGTGGATAGAGCAGGTAATCTTGTTGAGGCTCTTGTCTCGCTGTGGAATGGCAAAATTCTTAGGGCCATCAGCATGATCATTCCTGAGGCTCCGCTCCAGTCCTACAGAGGCCTCGTTGCTCCTTAGTATTCTGAGAAGCTGCAGTTGATGAAACAGACTGGCTGGGGGGATGGGGACTGGTGGAAAGCACCATTAAAGATAAAATTATCAAACCTAGGAAAGGATCAGAGTTGCTGAAGAAGAATCAATATGGCTTCTGCGAAGGTATGCTCTGTCTGCCTAACCTTTTAGAGTTCTTTGAGAGTTCCAATAAGCATATGGGTAGGGGTGATCCAGTTGATACTGTGTACTTAGTCTCTTGAAAAGCTTTTGACAAAGTAGCTCACCTACTTAGTAAGCTAAGCAGTCATGGAATAAGAGGGAAGGTCCTCCTATGGAGCAGTTACTGGTTAAAGAGCAGAAATAAATAAACAATCAAGGGATGTAGAAAGTGAAGTCTGTCAAGGATCAGAATTGGGACCTGTGCTTTTTAAGTTCTTCATAAATAATCTAGAATTAGAAGGGAGCAATGAGGCTGCCAGGGTTGCTGATGATTCCAAATGGTTTAAGGTGGTTAAATTACAAAAGGAACTCTCCAAACTGGATAAATGGTGGTATAATCACAAATACAGTTCAGGACTTATCTACACTTAACTTTCCTCTGCTCTTTCCAGGCACGGTCCACAATTTGAAGCTCTGTGTCCAAGCACCCGAATTGATGTTTGCTCCGACTGAACACCAAAGATCAGGTTTTTGTGGGGAAAGCTCCAGGGCAAAAAAAAAAAACCTGCTCAGACGAGGAGCTTCAAAGTGCAGACCTGTGCCTGGAAAGAGTGGGGCAAAAGCTAAATGTGGATAAGCGCTCAGTGTAAACAAGTTTAATGTTATGCATGTTGGGGCAAAAATTCTTAATTCCACATATAGTCTCATGAGGGCTGGTTAGGCACTGACTGCCCAGGAATGAAACTGTGGGATTGCAATAGAAATGTGAACCCAGTGTGCAGCAGCTACAAAAAAGATAGATAGATTCCATGCTGGGGAGATTTGTGTGTGTGTGTGTGTGTGTGTGTGTGTGATGACACTAGAACTGAAGTTCTAGTGAAGCTGACTTTTGAAAGATTCAGGAAAGACAAAAGAAAGTAGATATGTACACAGTGCCTACCTTGACTATTGAATTTGCTACTGCAATATGTGACTTTCACCACCAACCTACAATGAAATCTTAACATGTCTACTTACTTCTAGGTATGTAGGTACAGTGGTACCTCAGTTTAAGAACAGCCCTGTTTACGAACTATTCGGTTTACGAACTCTGCAAAACCGGAAATAATGTCTCAGTTTGCAAACTTTACCTCGGTCTAAGAACGAAAACCAAATGGTGGAAGAGCACCAGCAGTGGGAGGCCTCATTAGGGAAATTGCGCCTCGGTTTAAGAACAGTTTCGGTTTAAGAACGGATTTCCGGAATGGATTAAGTTCGTAAACCGAGGTACCACTATATAGGGTTGCGGCCTTAGATGACTTTAAAGGGGGATTAGATAGAGTTATGGCAAATAAGGCCATCATTGGCTAGGAGTCACTATGATGTTGCTCTACCTCCAGGACCAGGACCAGCAACAACCCTCTGAAGACCAGATGCTGGGGAGCAACAGCAGGAAAGGGCTGTCACCTGCATGACCTACCTCTGGGCTTCCTATAATGGGCAGTCCATGGTGAGGTAGTCCATGGTGAGGAATGGGGATGCTGAATTAGCTAGGCCCCCTTTGGTGAGATCCAGCTGCTGGAAGAAGAGTTTGGATTTGATATCCCGCTTTATCACTACCCTAAGGAGTCTGTCTCAAAGCGGCTAACAATCTCCTTTCTCTTCCTCCCCCACAACAAACACTCTGTGAGGTAAATGGGGCTTAGAGACTTCAGAGAAATGTGACTAGCCCAAGGTCACCCAGCAGCTGCATGTGGAGGAGCGGGGAATCAAACACGGTTCACTAGATTATGAGTCCGCTGCTCTTAACCACTACACCACACTGGACTCTTCTTCTAGCCCAATCCAGGAGTACAGCAGAGAACAACATCCAGATTTGGAGTTGGAGGGCTGCTGTTGCAAACACAAGGATAGCCAGGCCACATTTCAGGCTACAAGACCCCTTTGCCCTCCCACATTTCATCACAGAAGGCAAAAAAACAAGGCAAAGCCTTCTCCATTGTGATTATCTGCTCTCTGTCCCACTGATTTATTTGGTGTCAACCAGCAGAGAGCTTTTTATATAATGAAACACTGCCTGCATGCCATCTGTCATCCATCACCCAAAGTGGCACGCCATTTAAAAGGTTTTTGTTGGGGGGGTGGATGGACAGACAGACAGAGGAGTGGGTGCACCTCCTACTAATCGCCTGATTTCAGGAACTGGGCTGGGCAGAGACCCTGAAATGCACACATGGAATGTGGTAGCTGCAACTGTGAGCCAGTGTGGTAGTGGTGCTCAGTCTTACTATCCCATGGCAGGATTATTCTGCTCACAGCGGTTGCAGCCTGATAATTATTATTGATTCACTCTCAGGCTGTCAATCTGGGAACAGCTCTAAAGTAGTCCATGATGGACAGAGAGAGAATTGGACAGCCACCATCCAACGAAGAAACTTCATCTTGAAAATGAACTTAGATGAGATGGTGCAGGTGGATAAGGGTAATTGATTATTGTTTTAGAGTGGAAGAAGGAGATATTTTTAAAGAAATATCTCTTTGGTATCCACCCTAAGAAATCTGCACTACTCATAAGACTGTGCGCAAATGTCATACGCTTTTAGAATTTTGTGTAAATGGTTTACTAAGGCTTAATTTTATCACAGAAATGCAGTTAAGATTCCCTGGTTTGCAGAACACACAAGGCAGTTTCCTCATGGGAGTGATACAAGCTGTTCCAAGCTACATGACTTAGTGCCACAAAGAGACTAGCTAGTACCCTGCACTGTTAGGGACAGTGAGGGGTCAAAGTTGCTAATGCAAGAGAACTTCCTTGTCATGCCCATGTTATAAGACAGTGGTTCCCAACCCACCCATGGCACCATTCACATAATGAAAACTACCATAGAGATGTCAAAAATTTCAAAAGTAGGGGTCCATGGGTTGACTTCTTTTAGGGGGAAGAGGGGGTCCACAGTACTTATCTAACTGGGAACCACTGTTATAAGGGATTCTCTGCAAAGTGTTTTAAACCTGATGTTTTGCTGCGTTGCCTAACATTCTCTGCTCCAGCTGCACAAGCCAGATCCCCAGTGCAAGGTGTTTGCCATGGGAAGATGCCTTCCAAAAGAGACACAAAGGTAGACACAGGCAAATGCGCATTATTTCTAAAAGGCAGGGCACAAATATGTCCATGAATGAATGACTGGCTGAATATGAAGCCCTGTGAGTGAGCAGGCTAACCTCCTTTGCAGGGCTGTTATTATGAGGATAAAATGGGGCAGCCTCTAGCTCTGCTAGAGGACAGCAGAGTGCCTTTTGCCTTGGTGAACCTCTCCATTTGCTAACATCTACAAGGGGAGTTGGGACGCGGGTGGCGCTGTGGGTTAAACCACAGAGCCTAGGACTTGCTGATCAGAAGGTCTGCGGTTTGAATCCCTGCGACGGGGTGAGCTCCCGTCGCTCTGTCCCTGCTCCTGCCAACCTAGCAGTTCGAAAGGATGCCAAAGTGCAAGTAGATAAAGAGGTACCGCTCCGGCGGGAAGATAAACGGCATTTCTGTGTGCTGCTCTGGTTTGCCAGAAGTGGCTTAGTCATGCTGGCCACATGACCCAGAAGCTGCACGCCAGCTCCCTCAGCCAATAAAGCAAGATGAGCGCCGCAACCCCAAAGTCGGTCATGACTGGACCTAATGGTCAGGGGTCCCTTTACCTTTACTTTACAAGGGGAGTTTAGTGAGCTGTAAAGGGGGACTTGGCTATGCAATCCCATCTGTGTGGCTCTGCATACAGCATTTAAAAACAAGATGTGATGGCGCTTGTCGTTCATTTCTCTCTAAGTGGAATGCCACATTCAGGTTTCTTTCTCAAGATTGCAAAAAAGCCTTCCTAAGGTTCCATCATCAAGAATGAAAACCCCTTTTCCTTGGGCTCTTGACTCCTTGTAATCATAAAATGCCTCTTGGAATCTTCAATGGGGTGACAATTCACTGAAGATTAATTCTTGTGCAGGAGTCGCTGGGGCTCAAGCCAACTCTTTGATTAGCTGTAAATGAGGTGTGTTGGTCGAAATGAGTCTCCTCCTATTATCTCGGAGCCCGTTCCCAGGGCCAGCGCTCCTGCCCCTCCAGATGCAGCTGTTGCTGTATTTGCTTCCCAATTACATTGTGGGTGAACTCAAGAGAACACAAACCAGCGGAGGAGAAATCTGCTCAGTCTCACCACAATTAGGGCTTATGCTCTGGTTCAGGAAAAGTCAGGCAGACAGGTCACTCGTATTTGATTTTTGAGCATGTTATTTAGAATTTGGCCACAGACACAAATCATTGCACACAAATCTGTTCATTTGTTTTTTAAGGGAAAGATATTCCAGCAGTGGTAGTATTGATTTCCCACTATTATGTCTTAAAAACTGATGCACACACACACAGTGTACACACACAGAGAGCCTGCAGCACAGAGATCATTTTCTGCTTGGTCTTTTGCCAGCCACAGGCATTCCTGCCCCTTGCAATTATATTGGAGCGCAGAGGCTGACGGCTCCCTCAATCCACCACATGATACTTTCTCCTCCTGAATTGCATCATGAGGACCTCTTCACTTCCTCACATTCAGGAGGGGGCAAGATGAAGAAGACAGAGCCAGCACAAGCTCCTTCCCCATTTCTTTATTAAAAAAATAAAATAAAAGGAAGGAAAGGTTCCTTCTCGCAATGCTTGATTCGCTTTTGGGATCCTTAACCACAATATGTGATGATGTGTCCCACAGCTTGCATGGACTTTTCAAAGCACAAGACAAATTCTTCTAGAACAAACAGAGACATCTTTAGGAGCATGGAAGCTGGGCCTTCCAGCTTATCACTCGCAGTGCTCAGGCAACCAAAAAGCTTTGGAACTCAAGCCGCTTTTCAGAAGTTGCTAACAGATGAAGAATAAGGATTTATTTTAGCATCTAGAGATGTCATGAGAGAGTACTGCAGATATTAATAATGTGCAGCTTGAAGCAACTGGATGCATAAAAAGTGACTCCTTTTGGAATAAAACATTGTCCAGACCCATAAGTATTGTTCAAAACTTTACTTGCAGAACTTCCTTGGAAACAGAACAAAAACCATAGTGATACATCAAAAATAGTTGCATACAATATTTTGCGCATGTCCAGCACAGGCTCAGCATCTTATAAGAAAAAACTTTACTTCTTCCAGAAATAAATCTGTGTCTCTTTCCCATTCCATCCTGCCTAAGGCTATGCAGCTCCTGGAGAGCCATTACCACATCCTTTTGTTGTCTCTGTGGCATCAGAGAAAGACTGACAACTCCCTTAAGGTTGGTGATTTGCAACTGAATGCCTTACTCATGTGATCTAAGGTTAAACACTCATGTGTCAGAGCAGAGAACATTCTCAGTTAATCATGAACTTGGTTAAAGCTCAGAGAGCTGCTATGGAAAATCCTGAATGTTAGCAATACACATCCAGGCATTCTCCATTTCAGTGTCAGTTAAACAATTATACTTGACAGAGAGGAGGCAGCATAATCATTTGAAAAGGAAGCTAAAGGGGGGGGAGGCAGAGTGGTGGGGAAAGGGGCCACTGTGGGTAAGGCAAGGGAAGTGGGAAGCAGGGAGCCTTTCTTTTTTATATTTAGAGATGGATGCAGAAATGACAGGAAGAGAGGCAGGACTAACTACTCCATCCCAGGCTTACCCCGAGGGCCAAAGCATTCCACACAGACCCAACCAGAGGGGCTGTTGTGACATTCCGCTGCACCACAAAGTGATTGGGCATGCCTGGGCTTGAGGCCTCTGATGCCAAGTACTAAAGAAAGAAACCTGCTCCTTGGCTGTTTCTTTAGGAAGGAGCTTCTGCAGCTGGCACAGCCCATCTCTGTTGGCACAGAGCCCCCTCCCCCATCAAGGGGAAGGGAACACGCAGCCCTTGGCCATTGCACAGGCCAATGTCAGGCATGATTTCCCATTCGCCTCGGGTGTGAGAATTGCAAGAGCACTTTGGATGCCAAGACGATACTCTGGCACCATGCATTAGAGTATAATGATGCTGTAGTCACGGCAGTTTTTGTTAACCTTAATGAGCATGTGTAACATCTTTGGGCGAAGGGCATCGCGTTACAATGTGTGATGAATTATGCAATAACAGAGTTCAATACACACCCTCTACTTCTCCCAGATGTTAAACAATGCAGGAAATCAATCCTGAAGTTTAACTGTATTAAAAGGAAGCCAAATATCATTCTCCCCACAGAATGCCTGCAACATGCTTGCTTGTTAGGGCAATCCCAAAGTGGCTGCTCTTTGGCTGCAAAGAGGGCGATGGTTGGGGGAGATAAGCGCAAGCTGTGCCAGTTCACACAGTGAGCCCTGGGCTCTACAGGGTCCCAGAAAAACTGGGCTCAAAAGGCACCCCCCTCCTCCTCCTCCTCAGCCTTCTTTAACGCAGGACACGTGGGAGGAGCACTTTCTGCCGCCACCCCCTATCATATTGCAGCAAAAGGGGACAGGTAAGAGGAGGTAAGGGACGTGGGTGGCGCTGTGGGTTAAACCACAAAGCCTAGGACTGGCCGATCAGAAGGTTGGCGGTTCGAATCCCCGCAATGGGGTGAGCTCCTGTTGCTCGGTCCCTGCTCCTGCAAACCTAGCAGTTCGAAAGCACATCAAAGTACAAGTAGATAAATAGGTACCACTCCTGTGGGAAGGTAAACAGCGTTTCCATGCGCTGCTCTGGTTCGCCAGAAGCGGCTTAGTCATGCTGGCCACATGACCCAGAAGCTGTACGCTGGCTCCCTCGGCCAATAAAGCGAGATGAGCACCGCAACCCCAGAGTCGGTCACAACTGGACCTAAAGGGTCCCTTTACCCTTTACCTTTAAGAGGAGCTTCATAGGAACCTAATGAGCGCCTGGCTTCTGCAGCTGGATCAGGCCAAAAGGGAGCCCATCTAGTCCAGCATCCTCTTCTCACAACCCCGGAGGCTGTCCAGGTAGGAGGAAAGAGAAACAGGCAACCCCAGTGCCTCCCCTTGCAGGGAATGTAATGTGCCCATCACATGAAGCAGCAAGCCTTGGCAGGACTGAAACTGGTAAGTGGAGCAGTCTGTTCTGTTTTCCACATGCAGCTTCTGCAGAGTTACGAAGAGCCTGGTGCATTATCTCAATGAGCTCCGAGGCAGATCCCTTTGCAAGCTGCACAAAGATGTACAAGGAACTGAGCAACAGGCCAGACTGCAGGCTAGGAGAAGGAGGTGGGGACACCACTTGCTAATATACAGCTGCCACGGAGGAGGGACTGCGAGCCGTGGGTGGAGTGCAAGAGTCTATTATAAGCCAATTCCTACATATCCTGTTAACAGAGGCGGATTTAGGGGAGCACAATTGATTCAGTCGCACAGGGTGGGGAGCCTCGGAGGTGCTACAGCGGGTGCCACAACTATTATTTAGAATGGAAGGCAAGGGCCAGGGGCACCAAATTTTGCCAACGCACAGGGTGCCACTGAAATTTGAGACCCCAAGGTCCGTCACTGCTGCAAGCCCCTTTCTGCATTTCACTGCTTATTGTTCAACTATTTCTAAGCCCCAGCCCATGGTCATAAGACTCTAGAATCTTACTTTTAAAATATCACCATCCTCTTACTTTTGGAACACACACACACAGGCTCTCACACTGTCAAATCGTACTGTGGTTGCGAGAAGTACACACATTTCTCAGTTAAATTCTTCAGCTGTTGCAAGAGAAACATTTCCTTTATTGTATTCATCAGCCTGTTCTCCAATCACTCTGGATCAGTGAGCCTCAGGTGGCTAATTTGTGGATTAAAAGGAATGGCCCTGGTAGGAAAAGGAAATGCAGTGGAGGATGAAAAGCATCTTCTGTGCCGCACTCTGCCATTACACCCGTTGCCAGCACAAAAGGAGGCAGTGGAAAAAACATCAGATAGGATGTTTTATTTGTATTGTGGGAAGGATGGTGGAAGGGCATATTGCCTACTTAGAGCACACTGGGTACAGTCCAGGAGAAGTTGTCACTCTCTAAAGGAAGCCTTCTTGCTTCTCATAGCTTCTTTGACTCTGCTCATTAACCATGCTGGCATCCTTTTGGCTCTCATGGTACCTTTCCTGGTCTCTGGGATATACTCCAGTTGAATGTCTAATAATGTGTTTTTCAAAGCATTTTGTAGAGATTTGCCTCTCTTAATTTTGCCTTTCAACTCTCTTTTACCCAACCCCACTCATTTTGGAGAAGTTCCTCCTTTTGAAGTCAAATGTGAGCATGTTGAATTTTCTTAGCAATTGGTTATTAGCAGGGACATTTAATTTAATAGCAGTAAGGTCACTGTTCCCATCTGGTTCAACAGCACTTACATCTTGCTCCAGGTCCTGGGTACCAGTCAAGATTAAGTCCAGGGTCACCTGTCAGTTCGGGCACCAACAGATCTAAGGCACAGCCATTTAGGGTATCCAGATATTTTTCCTCTTCCTTGTAACTGGAACACATATATAGCCAGTCTACATGAAGGGGATTGAAGTTACTCACTACTACAACATTTCCCCTTTCATTTTCTTCCTTGATTTCATTCTCCATCTAAAGATCTTCTTGAGCATTTTGACCAGGGTGTGTGTTTGTGATAGCATGTCCCCAGTGCTGAATTTTTCTTGGGGGCCTGGTATCACCACCCACAACAACTCTGTGGGAGAGCCTGCCCCTTTGGGGATTTCTTGCTTGTTGGACCTGTTTGATGTAGCTCCAGTTTGCCCTCCCCTGTTCTCTTTTACACTGAATTTAGTGGTCTATGCAGGCAGAGAGATGAGAGGCAATTCTGCAAGGGGATTTTTTTTTAGATGCAAAACAGTTTAGGATATCAAGTTGTGATTTACTCCACAATCTGCCCTGTGTGTGAATGGGAAGCCTCAATATAACAAGTGTGGGATGTGAAACACAAGAGCAGGCAAGTACAACATTCCTAGAGTGAACATGTTTACACATGGGGAGGAATGTTTGCCCAGCCAGCAGGTAAACTTCCTGTTTCCGTCTGGGCTGGGACAGACTTCCTCTGCATGTGACTAGAGGTGGGCATGGCCTCACCTGTGCAGGTAACAAAAGCATAGGACTGGCCGCCATCTCTCTCTCTGTGACTACTTTCGTCGAAGAAGCAACATCTGCTTAGCCAAAGATGCTCTCTTGCATCTCTTGCAGCCAAGAGAGGACAAAGGGACTGTCTCCTTATGAGATAGTTTCCAGGTGAATGTTACGTTTCTAAGCTAAGTCTGCCTTCTGGGATCCGATTGTGAACAGAATGTGAGTGAGTAAACACTTTTTATACTTTTATAGAAGATTGTGTTGTGTCTTATCTTTTATGAGGGAATAAGGGGGAAATACCAGAACAGTTATTATAGAGGCTTTAGCAAGCCTGAGCAAATGCATCTGTTGTGCAAGTTTAAAAAGGGGGATGTTACTCTGCTAAATTGTGGAACTTGTTAACACAAGATGGAAAGGATATAATCAAACAATATATCCTCTCCTGCATCCCTGAAGATTCCCACAAGGAGGAAAAACAAAGACCAGGAG